TCTTTTCTCTCTGAGCCTATGCTAAAAGCTTAAGGGACGTTGCTGAGCAAGGCAGGGTAGAAATGTTTTCCCTGGGGGTGACAGGAAGCTTTGGGTTCAACAAGGTGAGGGGTCATCTCATGTTCTTTATTTTCTCAAGGAGCAGTAGACTTGAAGGAGGTAAAGGAAAACCAGTATTTCTCATAATAAAACAATATTCATAGCCTCTGTGTTAGGGGGCCCTCAAGACCAACTTCAGGTTCAATGTTTGGCTAGAAGGACTCACAGAACTCAGAAAAGCTGTGATGCTCACATTTATGGTTTATTACAGTGAAAGGACACAGATTAAAATCAGCAGAGGCAAGAGACGCAAGGGTCATGGTCTAGGAGACACTTGATGTGAGCTTCCAATTGTTCCCTTTTGGCGGAATTGCATGGATAGCATTTAGTTTTCCCATCAACTATGCAGGACAACATATATGAAGTATTGCTAGCCAGGGAAGCTTATCTGAGCCTTGGTGTCCAGGGTTTTTATTGGGGGTCTGTTGTGTAGGCATGAAGTGCCTGCTGACTTAATTACTCATTCTTCAAAACCCCTAGCAGTCAAGCTAATACAGCATTGCCCAGGGTCCAAGGTGAACAAAAACATATGTTCACTATAAGTTACACTGTCAGCATAGACTACCTGGCATGGCTAAAGACTCCAAGTATATACTAATACACATTTATCAAGCAGGATATTCCATGGATTCAGAGGTTACCTCCCAGGAACCAATTAAGGTCCACTTCTTTCTTTGAGATGTGCAGATTTTGAGCACCCCTAGCCCTCTGAGTTAACCCTTTACTTCATATACCCTGTGGTTGGAAATAGAAGAAGCAGCTTCTAATGGGGATGAGTAGCTGAACTCTTGACTCCTGAGATCAGTTGGCCCAGACACCCCCATACTAGTCTTGGGATTCTGTGTCTCCTTACTACACAGGGTGGGCATTGGCTTCTTAGCACTCTTTTCCTGCAGTCTGTGAACCAGGTGAGACATTAAATGCAACCTTAATAAAAGCTTGGGGAAAACACAAGTTAAGTAAACAGAGAGTAACATGATTCCAACTGTCATGGGTAAAACTCAGCTCTACGCATTCCTTATAATCCTAGAACCATTGGGCATAAGCAATTGTGAAAACTTGGAAGGGCTTCAGAATTCTTTAACCTATTTGTGGTCATCATAGAAACATTTATGGTCAGAGACTAGAAATAGTCCATGCAAAGGCAAGAGCCACCTCTGTTTATTTTCAACAAAATCTCCAATCTGAGGTGCAGAAAAATGAGAGATTTTATGCAGGTGAATGGTTTGCAAACCAAGGAAATGTAGTGTCTGGTGTAAACCAAAAGTGTGCTCTATTGAGTCAGAGGGGAGGCCGCCTTTTATAAAGAGAGGTCCTGCCTTGGTTGCTGATTGTTCCATTGATATGCAAACGAACAATCCAAATTTGCACAGTCTGATTAATCCAAATAGCATTATCCTAATATGTTGGCTTTGCGTGTTCTGATTGGTCATTATAGATCTGCTCTGATTGATCAACAAGATTCAAATGATGATATAGCTGCTCAGTTCTAAGATGGAGCAGGTCTCACCCCATTGCTTGGAAGATGAAACCAGGAACTCTGTTATGGCAGGAGCACAGTGCAGGAGGCTGGCAAACCAGTCTATGGCTTTTTCCTGAAACTCAGAGTGTGTGAGAGGTCTCTGTCAGCAATGGCTGCTAGACTCTGGTTATGAATTTGTGCTCACTTAACCACAAGGAGTCCTTGACAGTTATATTCCTTCTTGAGGTTCACATTATAAAACATCCTACTCCACATTTGACCATGGGGAACTTTGCCTGGGATACCAAACCAAAATTTCAGTCTCTGGCCTCACCCCAGCACATGGTGAGTGGTCTGTGTCCTCAGTGGGCTCCTGTGGGAGCAGGGTATATTACTTTGCTGGGGCTGCCACAACAAAGTAGTACCATAGACTGGGTGGCTTAGACAACAGAAATTAATTTTCTTATAGTTTTGGATGGTAGAAATCTGAGATCAAGGTGTCTGGAATCTTCTGAGGCTTCTCTCCTTAGTTCGTAGATGCCCATCTTCTCCCTGAGTCTTCACATGGTCAATTAATTCTTGTATATTGATTTTGTATTCTGCAACTTTACTGAATTTCACATAACTTCAGAAATCATCTCTGTAAATGAGTTTGCAGTGCAACACTTCCAAAATAGGTGCACATGCTATCACTTCTGAGGATATATTTTAAAAGCATGAGATCTTTTTTTTTTTTTAATCTACACCATTACTGAAGATAACAGAAAATGCCAGGTTCTATTCATACAAAGTTAAAATGACTGGTTATAAAGTGAAAAAGAGAACTCAAGCTATAACCTTAAGAAAAGCAGGAATAAAACATGAAAGACCCCAAAATATTTTTTCTTTAAAACATATAAAATTTGGAAAATTAAAAATATTGAACAAAGGAAGCCAGGATTTCTGGTCTTCGGTATTGTGTACCTAGCTATTCATGAGAGTCCTTTAACTGCGTCATCCCTGACAGCCACTGCTCTGATGAGGAGTGTTCCCAGGGCCCCCTTCATGTCCCTGTTCCTCAGACTGTAGATGAAGGGGTTCAGCATGGGGGTGACCATGGTGTACATCACTGAGGCCACCAGAGTTATCCTAGAGGATGAAGTGACTGCAGAACTGAAGTAGACCCCAAGGCCTGTGCCATAGAACAAGGAGACCACCGACAGGTGAGACCCACAGGTGGAGAAGGCTTTATACTTGCCCCCAGCTGAGGAAATCCTTAGGATAGAGGAGAAAATCCGAGCATAAGAAAAGAGGATCCCAGAGAGAGGGAAAACACCTAGGACAATAGTCATAAAATACATTGTTGTATTATTGACAAGAGTGTCAGAACAGGCAAGTTTCAGGACTTCAGGAAGATCACAAAAGAAGTGTGAGATTTCCATGCTTGTGCAGAAAGATAGCCTCAAGACGATCAATGTCTCAAGAAGGGAGCCCATGACACTGATGCACCAGGACCCCAGGACCAGCAGCCCACAGAGACGAGGGTTCATGATGACCATATAGTGCAGAGGGTGACAGATGGCCACAAACCGATCATAGGCCATTACGGTCAGGAGTAAGTTGTCCAGGCATCCAAACATAATAAAAAAATATATCTGGCTAAGGCAGCCTGCACAGGTGATAACTTTGCTCTGTGTCTGGAGGTTCACCAGCATCTTTGGGATGGTGGTGGAGGTGAAACAGATGTCAGCGAAGGACAGGTTGGATAGGAAGAAGTACATGGGCATGTGGAGGTGAGGGTCTGAGCTGATGGCCAGGATGATGAGCAGGTTCCCAATGAATGTGACCATGTACATGGAGAGGAAGAGCCCAAAGAGAAGAGGCTGTAGTTCTGACTCCTCTGTGAATCCCAGAAGGAGAAAATTTCCAACTCTTGTTTGGTTTCCTCTTTCCATGGGCTATTGAGTTTGGCCAGAAGGAGGAGAAGAATAACACAAAATTTACTACAAATAAGCAATCATTAGAATGATAAAAATATCCTTAATCCAAACCCACAGAAATCATAAAGTCATTCATTTTAGGTACTGGTTGGCTGTCTTTGCTGACAACTGGTGGTTGCTATTGCTACCTAGGAAAATGGTCTGTCTCTAGGTTTAGTGTTTCTCAAATTGTGGTCCCTGATCAGCATCACTTGGGAACCTATTAGCAAGACACATTTTTGGGCCCACTTCACCTACTAAATCAGATATTCTGAGCATGGAGCCAGTTCTCTGTGATCTTCCAGGAACTCTGATATACACACAAAGTTGAGTACTACTTCTTGAGTAGTGGTCAACTGTATCCATAAGCAATCATTCCTTTCCCAACATCCTTGACGGTTGCTCTTACACTTTTTGCTCAGTACTTGTGGGAAAGGGGAATTCCCTAAATCTAGGTACACCTACCAATCATTGAAAGGTTCCTTAACTGTGCTGTAGTTTCTATATGTTAGATCCTCAGGACCTTGGGTACTCTTTCTCCTAACAACAACAAGATAACCAACATTATTATTAATCACCATTTATATTTCATTTATATTATCAATATTCCCAAGTAAAATAAAAGGTGATTTTTAAATATAATGTGCTAGTGTTCCTAAATACTGAGTGTGTCTTTTCTCATGAATTCATCTTTTTTTAGCTTTATTAAGGTATAATAGATTTATAAAAAAATTGAACCTATTTAATGTATATATCTTGATAACTTTAAACATGTGCGTACACCTATGATGCCATCACCAGAATCACGGTTATAAACATAATAATCACCTCCAAAAATTTCCCTGTCTTCTTTTTGTGTGCATGTATTTGTGGTAAGAATACTTGTGATCTATCCTCTTATCATTTCAAAGTGCATAATACTACACTATGTTGCACAGCAGATCTCTAGAACTTATTTATCTTGCATAAAAGAAATTTTATACCATCAATATACAATTTCCCACTTACCCTCCCTGGGCCCCTGGCAATGACCATTTCATTCTTTGTTTCTATTAGTTTGGCTATTAGTTACGTAATTCATATCAGTGCAATAATGCAGTATTTATCCTTTTGTATCAGGCTTATTTCACTAAGCATAGTGTCCTCCAGGTTCATCTATAGTGTTGCAAATGGCAGGATTTCTACCCAGTATTTTCATGTATTTTAGGTTTAATGTCATTCAAAATAATATTCATCTACAGTATATCTCTGATATTACTATTATATTAGGAAAGCTTTTTGTTTTTCTGCACTTAAGGTATCATTTTTATTTTTTGGATTTTCTTATTAATATTAGGATTTTTTCTCTAATATTCATCTACTTTCTCCAAATGATATTAATTTACAACACATATTTATCTTTAGGTCTTATTGCATTGGTATGAAATCTCAGAACACTTTTCAAATTTATGATAAGAGTTGGAATTCTTATTCTTTCTTTTATGGGAGTAATCCTAGAGTTTTCTGATTTAATACCATGTTCACCATAATTTAGAATATATAATTTTAAAAATCAACTCGACTTGTATTTTTTATTCCTAGATACCTTAAAGGGTCTTTCAAAGATATAAATAATTGTTTAGAGGTTAACTATTTAGAAAAAATAATGTTAAATTCTTCTTCATATTCCCAAATAAATTTTAATTGTTAAGTGTGGAGCAAGAGACTATACAAACTATAAGAAAAAAATACAGATAAATATGTAAGTAATTTAATTTATACATGAATATATATAATCTTTGAAAGTAGGAGTTTCTCTGAATAAAAAGACTTTCGTAAAAATATGAGACAAAAGGATCAATAATTAGACCAAAATTAAAAAATTCTGAATGAGAAAATGTGCCTTCCAGTTAGAGGTTAACTATTTAGAAAAAATAATGTTAAATAATTCTTCATATTCCCAAATAAATTTCAATGGTTAAAATTCTGAATGAGAAAATGTGCCTTCCACAAAGTTAGAATGAAAACATTATCTCTTTGACTGATAAACTTAATATTTTTATAGAGCACTATAAATCATAGAAAGATTAGTGCATTAACTAAGAAAAAGGCATAAGATATTAACAAGTCATAAAACGAAACATGAAGAGTAGGTATTTGAGAAAAATTTCATTCTTACTGTGAACTATGAGGGTGAAATTAAAATAAGATGCCTTTGTCACCGAGAAAATTAAGAAGCCCTTTAAAAAAGATTAAAAATGCAAATCCATTATGTAAAGAGAAAAAAACACTTAAGACACTGCTATAAAAGGATATTTGGTCTGGTTTCTTGGGCTGGAGAAATTAAATAAGCACATAGATTTTTTATATTTAAATTCATATTTGTACAACCCCAAGGAAAATTGATCTACAAAAATTACATCAAGATGTGGACAGAGATAACCTTTGAGTGATAACATGAATTTTCATTTTTAGATTTCTTCTCTTATATTGTTGAAAAGTGCAAATAAACACATATGCAGTTTATCCTCAAGAAACAAACACTTTAAAATTTGAAGATTTTGTTAATAAAACTTTCATAAAACAAACCTAGGTAAAGCAGAGAATAAAGATAAAAGCAGAGTTAATGAGCTGAAAAGAAGAAAAAATTAGAACTAAAAAATAAATTTCACAACTAATTCTTTGGAAAAAACAGATAAAATTAGACAGAAGTCTGATGAAAAAGATAAAATTAGGAATGAGAAAAATGAACACAGAGGAAAGAAATACTTAAATTTGTTGGGTAATGTTAGTTATACCTCCATGTTAAAAATGTGAAAAATCTCTAAGAAATAAACTTATTTCTGAGAAAATATGTGTTCCAAGTTGATTCAAGATGGAGAATAACAGATTGATAATTAAGGAAAGAATTAAATAAACATCAAAACTTACCACTAAAATTGCTCAGGTGGGATATTTCATTCTTACTGTTAACTATGAGGGTGAAATTAAAATAAGATGCCTTTGTCACTGAGAAAATTAAGAAGCCCTTTAAAAAAGATTAAAAATGCAAATCCATTATTTGTATTTAAGTATTAAAGAAGAAACGATAGTCTACCATCATTAATGGTATTATTCGACTCTTGAGAAGTTCCAACCCAACCAATGCAATGCAAGGAAAAAAAGATATAAGAGGTCTCAGTATTGAAAAGTCAACTCTTCATTGTTTGAAGATGATGTCTTGGCTGTAGATAATGAATTTGCAGTTGAAAACCTCTTTTAACTGTGTATGATTTGAGTAAGGCAGTTAATATAAACAAATAAGAAAACCAGTAGCCATTTTTAAGTGGCATTCAATGGCATATAGTATTTTTAGAATGCTTTTCAATCATTGCTTCCATCTAGTCCCAAAACATTTTCATCACTGTGAGAACTCTCTGCATATCTTTGTAACTTTTCTTTAAATATAAAGATATTAAAAAAATTAACAAAAATGAGAAAACCAGTGATGTTCATATGTCTAGTTAAATATCTTAGAAAATAGATTACAATCATTTTGCATATTAACAAAAATATAAATATCCTGGAACAGGAACTGGAAACTTGCAAATACACAAAAATGAAAGTGATAAATTTACTAAATTAGCTAAAATTTCTTGAGGACCTCCAAGGGTTGAGCTCTTGTGTTATATTTTATATGCCTTGGCTCATTTTATTATCACTATTTTTTT